CTCTGCGCCGAACGGCTTCACCTCTACATTTTCAGCACCAACGTGTTCTGCATCGATTGCTGACACCAACGCTGCAGTCATAAATGACGCCTCAGCGCCGGAGTCCAGAGTCCGTTACTATCTCAGTCGGTTTCTCCCTGCTGTAACCTGCTCCGTCCAACACGTCATGTATTACCTCTACTTCTCGGCAAACATGGACAATGTATTGGTGAAAAGAATCATCTGACCGCTGCTTGCCTATCAGCAATGTCTCCCACGCTTTATCCGGAGTCTTTCCGAGCGAGGCAAGCAACTCTCTCTTTGCTTCCTCGCAATTATTGCATCCAATACATGAGTCCTCTCCTCTTTGCTACCCGCTAGCGTGATGCGCGATCGCAGCAGCCATTCGCTTTCTTCGAACTCGTTCTTGGAACAGATGTCCTTGAACAGGTCAAGATAATGCTCCTGGCTGCATTCCATCATAGGAGGGGATTTTCATCAACGGTTTACGAACACCGCTGTGACTGGGAGCTTCCACTGTACCTCCCATCGCACTCTCACTGGCGGCTTTGCCCTCACCCTCATACGCCTCGGTGATGCGCTCCTTAATCTCCTTGAGCTTATTTCAAACTCGGTGCAGAGCGCCTCCTCTCGCTGTCTGGCACTGCGCTCCTCACGCTGCCCGTACTGTTGGAGCCTCTGCTTCAAATGTTCCCTCAACTCATCGCCTTCCAATCCTAACCGAACTCCATTGGCGATAAAGCTGGCTTCCAAACTATGTAGTTGCTCTGCCATGCTAGCTCCGTACCCTGACGTGGTCGCCAACTGTTATGAACCCTCTGGTTCTCTAAAGTGTCAGGAACGAACGATCACACGGCACGAGGACAACTATTTATTCTCAACCGTATATTTTGACTTCCATTGAATCTAAGGGAGCATCTCATAAGTTCGCATTTTATTTGTAAACGTAACACATTTCGAATAGACTTCACCCCCTACCTCCCCCCTCTATTTGAAAGTCTTATCGCACATTTTCCGTGTGGATCTGTGCATGTCCATGCACATTATAATGAATGTCAAAGTGAATGGCATACAGTACTGCATCCAGTATTGAGTACAAGAACAATGAATGACATGTACACGCACCTAAACAGAGTTGCTGATGTGACACTTGACACCTCTGAGTAGCCTGTATGCATGCAGTGCAAGGCTGATCTCCAAACACAGGCACATAGATCTACACCTAAACACGCTCATTTGCTGAAGCGATCAAGCACATGCACTGCATGAACAGTATGTACATCTACAAATCCAGGAAATGTGCGATTACGAACTGTCATTTTTCTATTCGAAAAGGGCTCTACCCCCTACCGTTTCGAAATGCGTTACGTTTAGAAAAAAAAATGCGAACTTATGAGATGCTCCATAACTAACACTAATAACACCAGCTATTTATAGCATGCAAAAACAGCGTACATGTATAATCAAAGCATATGCATGTAAAACATGACATGACAGCGTATACAGCAAAACGCACACAGCGTAAATAGCTTACGCCATGCAGCAAAGATCAGCAGTACGGCGAAGTCGAGATACAACATCGCAACGAATACAATGTCATAAGCCAGAAGGCCTTTCCCACTTGAGAACTGGTGGTTTGTAACACTTAATAGTATATTGTCTAAGCAAGTGTGTTTTCTAGGGGTCAAACGGGTGTACCTTTAACTAACGAACGGTTAATTTTCTTAACGGGCGGGTTAACGGGTACCCTTTAGCAGCCATATTATTTTTTGGCGCATTTCTCACATAAATCATGATTTTAATTTGTATATTCTCAGGTTGTATTTTGATACATTATGATTCGCAATTGATTCGTGTATCATAATATTATTATGGCAATGAAGGTTCCAAATGAATGTCATCCGTGCATTTGCCCATGTACATAACTTCACAGGCAGTAACTTACAATCGTACATGTAGATGGTCCTTCAAGCTACATGTATTTTGATACATGTACGCAAATCAACTGCAGATCGATGTGATTTAAGCCATGCAAGGACAGAGTGGTTTAGCAAATCTTCCGTGACCTCGCGCAATCCTATTTGCTATGTTCGCAGAGAACTGGTACTCGTTGCATTCAGAAGATGTTCCGATTGTTCGCGCCCATAGCTAGCTGGGGTGCCTGACACAGCTGATGTGCTGCTGGCCAGCTAGCTGCTAGTGCTAGCTTGTTGAACTCGTGAAATGAATCTTCACAAATCCGTAATCTTGAATGCAATATTTCGAACTACTTTTCAGCTCGTCGATTGAAGGAACAAACTACAACCATGAGTATCATACATGTAGCTACCACCTACGGACATCACCGTTTGTGACACTCGGCCTGGTGACACTAGTTCATCAAGTACTGTGCCAGGTTCGATGTCGGAGAACCATCGTAACTTTCTAGTTACTCAGCTGCCACCTCGAACGAGTTTCAAGTCTTGCATTTTCTCACATCACAATCAAAAACCTCCAGTACGAGGATTTTTACTTGCACTAGAGTGGAGAGAACAACTGTCAAGTCTGTCTTTCAGCCTGCTCCTGCCTGATAAAGTCGAAAGCGAGAATGCACAGGAAAAAGGAAAAGAGTATCCGCACTCCTATTTTTTTTAGTCTTGGAATACGATAGGATCACCTTTTTTTTTTTTTTTTTTTTTTTTTACAAACGAGTACCCTTTTACTAACGGTACCTGAGATTAACGGGCAGGTACCCGGGTACCCGGTACACCCGTTTGACCCCTAGTGTTTTCTCGACATTCTTTTCGCCATGCAGGTATATCACAGTGCCATGCCAAAATACATTCTGAAACGCATTCGTTTCTCAATTCTGGGGATGATTGGACGCGCACATCTCGCAGCTCTTGACGACGTCAATGTCAACCGTCGCCACAGCACAACCAAAAAGACCCCGATAGAAAGGTATAAAGTCCAGTTCTCGAAGCATAAAGAAGACTATGTGGCCAAATAGATAATTTTTAATTTTTAATTTATACGAAAGAAAGAGTTACGAGATTGTTGACAAGCTCATGTGTGAGGTGGTAACGGTTGCAAATTGCAACCTCGATGTTCCTGCCTTGGAGAAGCCCGTTTCCCTGCCTTATCCCAGGTGGAAGCCTCCTGAGAAGGCTGAGGTGGTGCAGGATTTGGATATCTTTGCCTGATGGTATTCACAACGCAGGCTGAAAGACGACAACAAACGTGCTTGCCCAGTTTGCCGTGTACATACAGTGTGTACTGCCTGTGTGCCGCATAGCGTAGAGATCTACAGAAACATAGAATATCATACGGAGTGTGTATGCTGAGTGCTTGTACACATACCAAATTGCTGGACCGTAATAATTTATAGTGACTATACTGTAGTCAATACTCATTTACTCTACAAATGCGCTGTATTGCACCTACCGGTACCTACCTGCATATTCAGTGCGCGCGCCATAATAATTTAGTGTCCACTGATACAAAGATGGAGGTTCTTGTAGAATTTCCAATAATTGCTGATTTCAAACTGAATTCCAATGATCTGGGGAATGAATTCTGATTAGGACGCGTTCGATTACCTACTAGTACAGAGATGTCTTGGTCAGAAAGTACAGAATCTGATGTCTTACTCTCCTGCCAGAATTTGTGCATTATTTTGGTGTACTCTTTCTTGACCCCACGCTTGTACGTTGCATGACATGGTATACTAGAGAACGGGTGTATTGACAAAGCCTATCGCTTGAAACGATAAAGTATGGGTTCGGGTATGATCAAAGGCACCCACGGTGCTCATAAACTGTGTGCAGTGCTCTCTTCACCAACAGAACACTACCATACTTTGCAGATCTTGATGATAAAGACAAAATTAATGTGTTTGAGTCATGCATGAAAACGTGTGATAACTACTAGCACTACAGTACAATGTTTTCGTGCTATGCCTGACAACAATAAGTAAGTTACACGCAAAACATTACGCACATCAATCCTCACAAGACAAGTCAAGACGTACTCGGAGCAAAGAGAATTTTTTTTGTGTCATGCAAGGAACTTATGATAACTTCCAGTACAATGTATATCTTGTGCGACGCCTACTGTAGTGCGCCTGACAACAATAAATTTCTCCAACAAATAAGCGTATCATATTGATGCACGATTCTCACAAGACAAGTCAAGACAAACTAATTGAGGCTTACCTAATGTCAGACTCTTCTGTCACTAGCATTGGCGGCTTCTGCATGTCGAGATAACCTTGAAGAGCAGTGGTGGGTACAGCCTAATGCAAGGTTACGATCTCGTAATCTGCAAGGTCCACTACGCAAGAAACCTTGGGCCGTCTTCTCGACAGCGACGGCAGCATCCTACCAGAAAAATCATTCCCGCGGGCTGGGCATGGCTATACACCCTTGTCCACGCTCACACCAGTCGAAGTCCCAAATGATTCGAGATTCTGGTAGCCAAGCTACTCGTCTTCTGTCGGACACCGCTGCTGAGGCATCTTCTTCCTCAACATTTGTTACACGCGATGGCAGCTCCTCAGCAGAGTATCTGGGCTCCCTGCCCCAACCATATGCGGCGGTTGGTTGATGGTGGTCTTCACTGACCTCAGCATCGCTGCCTTCATTGCTGGGTACAGAGAATTGTTCGGAATAGCTCATCTTTCCTTGAAATTGTATACTAAAATAAAGCACCTTGATTCAGACCGTGCCAAAAAGACGTAGGCAGGCCGGGATGACATAGCCAAATGGCCACATGACGTCATGGCGTGGCCCCCGTTTTTGCCAATATCTCAAGAACGCTTTGTCGTAGAGACTTGGGACCAAGACCATTTGACTCAGCACCCCAGACTCTACAGGATATGAAAGTTTCATTTTTCCGTGCAGTTCCCCTTTATAACATCTTTGGTTGCAATGTATATGATACGAGTGCGCACTTGATTCTATTCATCGGCATATTATGATTGTTATTTCCACGCTGCCAATTTAACTAAAAGTGTGACTTACATTTCCAAAGGCAAGAAGATCTGAACCCTTTTGAAGCAGAAATTCTATAACCTCCGGCGTGCCGTATTTACAGGCTTTGTGCAATGGTGTGTCTTGATCCTGGAGTAGGGAGAGGTGAGAACGTTGAATATATTTTGTTTGGGGGAAACAACAAGGGAAGGGACAGAGAGACAAACGACTACATGATTGATCACGGCAAGACAGAGAGAGGGAGAATGAGAGTGAGCAAGGGAGAGACCTACAATGTAGATAAAAGGCCTGAGTGCCTATGACCAATACAGGTGCACAAGCAGCTGCTATACAGGAACTCGTCAAGCTTTGTGTACTGGGTGCAGACCAGCATGAGAAAGGATTTACTAAGAAACAGTATAAGGAAGATGGAGACCTAACAGTTTGTTCAGGTTCTGAACAGAGTACTACTACTAGTAATCAGGAAATGTCATGCGTCATAAGAGACCATGTCTGAGAATACCAAAGTATGTGTACAAGCTGATCTGTCCTTTCATTTTGCTCACAATCTCGGAGGTAGGTTCCCTTTGGGGTTTATATCGACCGTCCTAAGACCTTGGAAAAGTTTCTTTTAAAAGGTAGAACCTCAACACAATGCGAACCTAGGAACATAATTACCCCCCCCCCCCCACCAATAAGATGTCGGGATAATCCCTTCGGGAGCCCTTCTGGCTTCACCATAGCAGGGAGGTACTGCCGATTGGTGACTCAGCGTTTATGGAGGTTAGCGTCCTTGCAATCAAGTCGCATGTGGCCAGGAGGAGGATACGCAATAATAATAATAATATTCGCGGGGGATCTGCGTCGGCATCGCTTGAATGTTCAGAAACACACAAACTAGCCTTCGCATCCGCAGGCCACCACTATGCCTATTAACCTTAGTGGCGAATGCAGACCTCACAAGTGAGTCAGGGGAGAGGAGGTTAGTCTCTCAACCAATCGGGCGTGTAACGGCCCATAACCCTGTAAACTGCATCCTTGTAAGTCCGAGCTGTGAGTACCCAGTTGACCGTGGGTGTCGGCGCAGTTCAGCACGCGTAAAAAGTCCTTTTACACGCTCCCTGCTACCAGCGCGGGTCTTGAACTCGGGACCTCATGATTCGCAGGCAGGCCTGCAAACCAATCGGCCATATGCGTTGGTCAGGATACGCAAAGCGATACAAATTCGGGACATGGGCCCGGGAATAAACGACAACGCAGGATTGAACCTCCTGTAAAGGCATTCCTGGTACAAATTACTGGCCCAGTACTTGCTTCTCCCGGATAGTGAATTCTTTTTCTACTTCCATACACTGCTGTTGCCACCACCTGCAATTATATACACATGTACATATTTATAAAAAGTAAAAATGACCAAGAAACTACAAGCTACACTATAATGTCCACTAACACCATCAGTTACTAAACAATCAGCTGATCGGATAACATTGCTAGCCAGTTAGTTGTAGAACGTCAGTACCGTCGGTCAGTGTCGTGCAATGTTATCGCATGAGCTAATTGTTTAGTAATTGGTGGTGTTAGTGGACATTATAGTGTAATTTGTAGTTTCTTGGTCCTTTTTGCTTTGTATAAATAATCCTTGGCTCTCCATCCGAGTTCATACCATACATATACATGCATATGTTCTGCTTGGTGCATGTGCAATGTTTTACAGTTGTCGCGTATCATGCTATTGCTGTACCAGTTTTGTGTTTGTTTCTGATGTTTCCTCAACCTCTTTTTCTCTCTCTCCATAGTTCATGCATGTATGAATATTATCTCCCCACAGCACTGTTCAGTATCAAACCTTTCCCAATAGTGCCTGTACAGTCTATATCCAGCCCACTGATAATGGTGCAGAGCCACTCCGTTTTATGTGTATATCAGCACTGCTTGTTGTACTCTTGTGTATTATCATACTACTACGCATTCTTTCCTGGTGTTGTAGTCACGTCAGCTGACGTCTGATGCGCGTAGTCGCGTACACTGTACTGCTTTCATTCCTCACGTTGTACTCAAGTCTGATGCACGTAGTCGCGTACACTGCTTTCACTTCTCATGTTGTATTCACGTCTGATGCGCGTAGTCGCGTACACTGCTTTCATTCCTCACGTTGTATTCACGTCTGATGCGCGTAGTCGCGTACACTGCTTTCACTTCTCATGTTGTATTCACGTCTGATGTGCGTAGTCGCGTACACTGCTTTCACTTCTCACGTTGTATTCACGTCTGATGCGCGTAGTCGCGTACACTGCTTTCACTTCTCATGTTGTATTCACGTCTGATGCGCGGAGTCGCGTACACTGCTTTCACTTCTCACGTCGTATTCACGTGTGATGCGCGTAGTCGCGTACACTGCTTTCACTTCTCACGTTGTATTCACGTCTGATGCGCGTAGTCGCGTACACTGCTTTCACTTCTCATGTTGTATTCACGTCTGATGCGCGGAGTCGCGTACACTGCTTTCGCGCGATCTTTGAATATTTTTTGGAATCTCCGCTTCTGCTTCGAGAGAGGCAGAACTTTCCTTTGTACTGCAAGATGATTTCCAGCAGATTCAGAGTAAAACATTATACAGGTCCTCCCTCATTATAACGAGTCTGGTTAGTACATAAACCCCGTTAGTAAATAGAAATCTGAAATCCCCTGGCGAAACGTGGTCTATACAACTGTTTACAGGTCCGGTTACAACATAATCCGTTAGTACATAAAATCCGTTATAACGACCCTTTGCCCAGGTCCCTGGAGTGCCAAACCCTCAGTTTAAGATAATATTGACCATGCAGGACCAAGGCCAAAACATGTAGGATAAAGCAGTCGTATTCACGTGTGATGCGCGTAGTCGCGTACACTGCTTTCACTTCTCACGTTGTATTCACGTCTGATGCGCGTAGTCGCGTACACTGCTTTCACTTCTCATGTTGTATTCACGTCTGATGCGCAGAGTCGCGTACACTGCTTTCGCGTACACTGCTTTCGCGCGATCTTTGAATATTTTTTGGAATCTCCGCTTCTGCTTCGAGACAGGCAGAACTTTCCTTTGTACTGCAAGATGATTTCCAGCAGATTCAGAGTAAAACATTATACAGGTCCTCCCTCATTATAACGAGTCTGGTTAGTACATAAACCCCGTTAGTAAATAGAAATCTGAAATCCCCTGGCGAAACGTGGTCTATACAACTGTTTACAGGTCCGGTTACAACATAATCCGTTAGTACATAAAATCCGTTATAACGACCCTTTGCCCAGGTCCCTGGAGTGCCAAACCCTCAGTTTAAGATAATATTGACCATGCAGGACCAAGGCCAAAACATGTAGGATAAAGCAGAACGAGGAAACGTATGATGTCTATGTATTCGTGAATATGGGCGATCCTTTGCATCCAAGGAAGAGTTATGTTGGATATTTTCAATTATCTTATAACGAGTTGAAGTATCGATACTTTATGTTGTATCGAGGGTAGCCCCGGTAAGTACGAAGTAGTGCCTATTTCACCTTTAGCTGCAAGTCCTGCTACAAGATAAGTCTCGTTATAAGATAACTTTTTCGATGGCCCAGAGATTATCTACTAACGATGGAGGACCTGTAATACAGTCTTCTAGAACAACGAGTCGTGTGCTATCTGGAGGCGTGTGCGAGTAAGAACATAATGGTCCTTCAGGGGCGTCACCTGACCCCTTTACAGGGGGGTGCACACGGATTTTGCACAGGAAAACACGAAAAAGTTCGCTGATAGCAGGCCTGTCGCACCGACTTTGGAGGTGGGGCGGCCATGGGGCACGGGGGGCTTCCCCTGGGAAAAAATTCAAAAATTAAAGCCAATTGCAAGCATTTCCGGGCATTTGGTGCCATTTCAGTCTAGCTACAATGAAAGACTTTTTGATTCTGCAACAAGTCAAGAAGACGCTACGATCGGGGACAAGAATTCTTCATTATCCTCCCCCCGGGAATAAATTTCAAAAATTGAAGGCAATTGCAAGCATTTTCAGGCATTTGGTGCCATTTCAGTGTAACTAGTCTACAAGTCGTACTGGTCATGTACATGCACTCGCTACATGCACTCACGCCGCGTCACGCGGCAGCGCAGTACAACTAGTTTTAGTGCATGCAGTTTATTACATGTACTATTAAGTATTAGTAGATTTTACCAGCACTACACTTTTCATAACCAGGAGTTCGCAAAAAACGAAGGTCGAATTTTTTAGGGGGGTGCACGTGCCCCCCGTGCCCATCACGGGTGACGCCCCTGTCCTTCGAGCCGGATGGCGAACTTAGAGACAGAGCGAGCTGAGAGCAAACAGTGAGTTCAAAAGGGATGAGGCAGAAGACTTCGAATTCCCTTCGTTGGCAGCCTGGAAAATGGCAGATGCCAGGTCTGTAGGAAGCGCAGAATCAAGTAGGTCAGGTACTAGTAGTACGTCCAGAGCAACATCGTTCTCACGACGACAAGCGAAGATTCAGGCCTCTACGAAGACGTTACGTCTTGAAAAGGAATTTCTGGCAAAGAAATTCGAACAAGACAAAAGACTGGTGGAGCTGGAGTTGGCCGAGGACCTAGCTAGGCTCTTCGATGAGGAAAGTGTTCCGGACGACAGTAGCCAACATAGCTCACATCGCTCCTCAACTACAAGTGTGCGCTCAAATCGTAGCGGTGCTCTCTCGATCTTCAACTGCAGTTCTGGATATTTGAACGCTGTGGATGAGCAGTCAGTGCAGGAAGTGGAGTCTGAAAGCCGAAGACGCAGTAACGTTAGTTTGAGCAATCACAGAGGAGATTGAGTCTAACCTGCGGTAACTTTCGTACCCCAGTCTGAGCTGACAAGACCTGTCAGGCCACCACCACAACCTCCTGTACACCGTGTACAGGCCAAGCGTCCACCTATCATGAATGCTGCAGCCAGGAGCTTCAAGCCAGCAAAGGCTGGTGCAGCAAGTAGAACGCACCTTGACTCTGATGCGCCACACCCGTCTGTGAGCGCAGAGAATCCAGCCACCGATCCACATGGTCCAGAGGATGCCACTGCATGTGCACGATACGTTCAGAACTGGGTAAACAGTGTGCCACACAGTGCTGGGTATGTTGGTATTCTGCAGTTCCAGATAAAGCCGCT